CTTAGTATATATGTATATATAAGTATACTCTCTCTTATATATGTATAATATGTGTGTGTGTGTATACTCTCTCTCTCTCTCTTAGTAGATAAGTATATATAAGTATAGTATATTACAACGGTTATTTCTTCCCCATTGGCCCAACGGGCAACGACTACTTATGCGATTCTCTCTCTCTCTCTCTCAAGTTATAACTTATAAATATATACAATATATTTACATATATTATAATATATAGTTACATAATAATTTATAAGTATATACTAATACAAAATTATATAAAATATAATAATATTAAACTAATTTTTAGCATTTTTTATCAAAAAAAAGAAAAAAAATTTAAAAAACCTAGTTGGGATGTACTTATCTATTGTGATGCGATGAATTCCAAAATAAATTTATACTTGTAATTTGTAAATAATTTATTAATTATTAATAAAGAATTTATTTTTATAATTTTTTATTTGTAATTTATGTCATTTTAGGTGATTAATAAATTTATTGTTTTTTATTAATTTTTTTACCTTTTTTTATAATTTAAAAGTTAAATAAAATTTAAAAATTTTGATAAAAAATTAAAAAAATAAACAGGGCCGGCTCAGAAACCGGCCCGGTCGGGACCGGGCCCGGATTTCCGGGCCGGATCGGACCGAAGCGGCCCGGATGGACAGGCCTAAACATACATTTGCTATGATGTTTTAAAAACATTTTAGTAGTAAAAAATAACACCACGTTATTTTTTAAGAAAAACACAATAAAAAATACACTATGGTATCCCAACAAAACCTTCTAATTACAATTTGTTTTTTTTTCTAATCGCGTCAATTACATTTTGTTTTGTTTCTAATAGTGTCAATCATATATATGCATAAAGTGTTGCGTACAGGAGAGTGGATTGACACGTCACGCTTGGCTTGTGCTCTGTTATTCTGGAAAATGAACCAAGAAGTGAACGCAATCAGTGCGTATTTGAGGAGGGGAAATTTAGATGGAGACCCTCGCCGCTCTCTCCTTCCTTTTTCTGCACTTTTTGGGCCTAGTTTCTCTACTTTTTTTCATTTGAAAAAATTGCCCGGGCTGGTGGCTACTTTCGTCCACCATTGGTTGTGGGCTTTACGGGGCCCACCTACTTCTATATTTGGTCGCTTGGTTCATCATGTAGCTTTTCTTGAATACTACCATTCAGCATAATTTGTCTAACAATTACTAAGGTTATTTACTTAAGAAAAACAGTTAGATAATTATTTGCGTGAGCTTTTTGTAGGGAGAAAGATTGTAGAAAGATGATCACATATGATATTTGATTCTTTGAGAAAATTCTACACTAGTTTGGTATAAGTTAATGGGTTTAAAAAAAAGAAAAAAAGAGAAGAAGAAGAAAGAAGTCTCCTGCGTATTGCTTGATAAGAGACTCCCCTTAATAAGGTAGAAAAGCACTAATTTACCTCATCTCTTTTAATTTTTATAAAATTAATTGGATGTCGAAGCTAATATTATTTATCGTAGGTCATGACAAGCATATGCACTACTATATAACATATATCATTGTTATATTGAAATATTATTATTATTTGACAAGAAATTGAAACCTTAGATTTTTCTGAAAATCATGCAAATTTTAAGGAGATATCGGAAATGTTACTTTTGCAAGTTTATTTATTTATTTATTTATTTCATTTTGAATAAGTCTAACAATTTTGTCGCAACCCTTTAGGGAGAATTTTTTCAAATAATGCTTATACAATATATGTAGGATAAATGACATTTAAATACCCAAAGTTTTCCTTGTATTTCACTTAAAGAAGAAAATTTCAAATTAAACCCATTCCTAATTTTATTCCCCAAATTCAACCCACTTCAAACTTAATTATGAAAATTGACCCACTTTCTCGCAACGTGAGCATAGTGGCAAGAAAGTGGGTCGATTTTTTTTAAACGCGATCCTAATTAGTCGGGGTTGACAACCCCGACTATTTTAGACCTCGCTAACAATTTGGCAACCTAATTAGTCGGGGTTTGAAACCCCGACTAATTTGACACGTATTTAAATTGATCGAAGTTGGGAACCCTGACCATTTTGAAATGCCTAATTCGAATGGTCGGGGTTCCTAACCTCCACCATTTGGCAGAGACTTTAGCCTACGCTAGAAATGGTCGGGGTTGGGAACCCCAATCATTTTGTACACAACGTGCACGAAATGGTCGGGGTTGGGGTTCCCAACCCCGACCATTTGGCAGATCCTCCAGCCCACACTCAGCTGAAAAATCTCACTCCTGCTAATACATATCAATCCACCAACTCTTGGTACACATTTATTAATCCACAATACAGTCGCAAACATAAATAAACACATACCAATCCATAATCAATTTCAAACGTAACATTCATTTCACTTACTAAAAATCCATAATCAATCGGATACGTAACATTCAAACGTAACAATTCAAACATAACATTCAATTTCAAACATAAACATCCTATCAAGTATATCGAAATTTAACAAATATTTACAACTCCATTTCTTCTCCCTCTCCCTCTCCCTCTTCTCCCTCCAACGTCTGGTTATGTGTGAACTTGGGAGCACATGACATCCTCGTCAACTTGAACTTGCTGTGAACATCCAACTTAAGCTTGTTGTGAGCCTTCAGCTTCATCATGTGCATGACTTAATCCTGCTCCCGTGTGTCCTCAAACTCGTCGACGCTCGTACCCTATGAGTCGCTCTTCACGTACACACGTTTCACATGATGCGTCCTCTTAAGAGCAGACTGAATCTTCTTTATGATGTGAAGGAATGCGTTCATCGCCCCTGGCTCGGTAGTCATTCTTAATGCATCATGTGCAATAATAACCTCATCGAGTTCTTGTACCTATAAGATAAAAAGTGAAAGAAAATTATTAGAAAGTGGATGATAATAAAATAATAATCACAAAATAATTGTATATTTTGCCTATACACTTACCAACTCTCTTTCAACTGGACCTCTTGGTATGTATATTTTACCTATAAGATAAAAAGTGAAAGAAAATTATTAGTTTTTGAAGCATGTGTATTATTATGTCTACAATCATTTTCTAAAGTTTTATATTTTTTGGAATTTATTTGATATTTTTAAATAGGGCTTCAAAATCAGAAAACTATTTCAAACTTGTTCATTTTCATGTATCTGTTTGCGGTCGACCGCCATGATCACCGCCCTTGAGTCTAGAGACTCAGTATGATGGCGGTCGACCGTATACAGTCCAGAGAATTTCGCGGTCGACCACCACGATCAACCGTCTGTTTTCCAGAGCTCAGTTTTGCCTTTTTGTTGCTCGCGGTCGACCGCTGAACTGAGCGTTGGGTTCCAACGGCTAGTTTCTGAGCTGTTTTCTCTTGGGCTTTTTGGTTATTTTGATTGGGCTTTTGCTGAAGTTTTGAGTGAGTATAAATACCCCATTGATCTCATCTTTCAATACAACCCAAGAAGTTTTTAAACAAGAGTTTAACAAGGCTTTAAGTTTGTTTTAAGTTTGGTTTTAAGTTTGTTTAAGGGTTTAGTTTGTGAAGAATTCCACAAGAGCAAGTGGAGATCAATTCATTGATATTTGAGCTTCAATCCATCTCTCTCTCTCTCTTGTCATTTATTGGAGAAGTTTTTTAAACTCTATCTAGCTTTACATTTTGTATTGTTTGATTATCATTAATCTAGTATTTATATTTGAGTTTAGTTTGATTTGATTTGATTTTCACTCATTGTTCACACATAACCTATTGAGCTTATTGTATTTTCATACATAGTATATTTGGGTTGGTGAGAGTTGTAACAATTGAGTGCGAGCTTTAATTGAGTTCTCGCCTTGTATTAGAGAACAAATCATTTGTTGTTATTGTGAGTTGTGGAGCGTAGACGTTGATCGGTAAACGTTGAAAACCGACATTGTGAGTGTTTGTGAACGTTGATCGGTGAGCGTTGAAAACCGACATTGTGAGGTGTAAACGTTATTTGGATGAGCGTAGAAAACCCGGTTGTGATAGTGGATTTCTCCCCGGGAGTGGGGAGCGGAGACGTAGGACGGAAGGTCCGAACTCCGTGATCATTTGCTTGTGTTTGAGTTTGCTTTGGCGTTTCATTTGTGCTTAGTGTTCATTACATTCTTGTCGCCATTGTCAATTGCCCTATCACATTTGTAGATTGTTTATTTCACCCTTGTGTTAGTTTATATATCATTGCATATATTTTACTATATATCTCATTGCTAGGATATTGCTCTTTGTTCATATTGCTTATTCTTGCTTGTAACATATTGTATATCTATCTTGCAAGAATAATTTATTAATTAGTTTTAATTGGTATAAAATCGGATTAGATTAGCATAAGACCCTAATCAACCCCCTCTAGGGTGTAACACAAAGACTTTTGGAAAAGTCAAGGAGATGCCCTCATATTTTGGAAAAACCGAAGAAACTATTTATTTCTCTTGACAAGTTGACTACACGACTCTCCCGCATTCTGTATCATGTACACATCGCTGTGTTTTGGAATACTTGTAAATATAGATTCATCTTTATGGTCTTTGCTTAGGATCTAGGAAACCTTTTCGTTGCAAAATCACTATGGTAAACATGTTCCAGTTTTTTATATGTATATATAATTTATTGCCTGATATACTTGTATAGAAATCAATCGCTTTTTGCTTTTCTTTTACTTTTTATTTATATATATACATGTAATTTAATCAGTGTTTTCTTTTGATGGCTATTTAATCAGCAACTAGTAGTTTAGGATTTTAAGTTGTCAAAATACAACTTGTAGAGGACCAATCTGCAAAAGATCGATTTCTTACTCCTCCAGAGAAAGGTCGCTGTCCCTCTCTCTCTCCCCCCCTCTCCCCCTTTCAATCACTATCTGACACAGTCCCATACACTCCCAGTCACTCACTCACTAACCCCGGCTATTTACTGTTCTACCCCTCTAACAACAAAATCAAAGCCTTCCCCCTCCCTCTTCCTTTTAAACCCACCGAAATCCCAAAACACCCCCCCTCTCTCTCTCTTCTCCCCTCTCTCTCCTTCGATGCCCACCTGTTCTTCGCTCAAGTAGAGAGAGAATAAAAATGGCGTACATGTGCGCAGACAGCGGAAACCTCATGGCCATCGCTCAACAAGTCATCCAACAAAAGCAACATCAACAGCAACAGCAGCAGCAACCAGGCAGCAGGCAACAAAGCCAACCGCCCAGCTTCACCCCACCAAAATCACGCCCGCCGCAGCCGCCGCCGCCGCTTCGCACCCCACTTGCAACCCCGCCTGGGCCGGCGGCCCCACATGGACCCCCACTTCCCCTCCTTCGTCCTCCCCGACCCCACCTTCTCCGACCCCTTCCACCGCGACCCCACCCTTGACGCCGTCGGCGGGCTCCCGTTCCGCTATCCGACTTCGCCTCCTCGGATTCGACGCGCGCGTTAGCGGCGGCGGTGGCGGAGTTTGAGTCCGATGAGTGGATGGAGAGCTTGATCGGGAGTCTCCGACGGGGAGCTCCGATCTCATGACTGACACGTGGCATGCTCCTCCGCTGTTTGCAACTGATCCCTCAGATTTCAACCCGCGTCGTGTTCTCCGATTCCGTTAACCTCACCGCCAGTGAGCCCTCGCGTTTCGATCCTCGCGCCGCCTCCGCCTGCTCTTCAGCTGAAGAAGGATCCCGTCGCCGCCTCCTTCATAGGTCGCGGTCAAGAATCCAACGATTCGCCTTCGCCACGCTTCTCTAAGGTCGCTTCTCGACTGTGCTCGCATCGTGGATTCGATCCGGACTGGCAGCGAAATCGCTGATCCGGATCCGGAGAACTCGCCTCCGAGGTCGGGGACCCGATAGAGAGAGTGGGCGTTCTAACTTCCAGTGAAGCTCTGGCCAGCCGCTTGACGCTCCCAAGGAGGGAAGACGAAGGAATCCACTGTTTCGACTTCTTGGTCGTTCGATTTCTCGCCGGAGGACTTCACTCTCTGCTACAAAGCGCTCAACGATGCCTGCCCTTACTCCAAATTCGCTCACCTCACCGCGAACCAAGCGATTCTCGAAGCCACCGAAGCTTCGGATCGAGTCCACATCATCGATTTCGGGATCGTTCAAGGAGTCCAGTGGGCGGCGCTGCTACAAGCTCTGGCGACCCGATCCGCCGGAAAACCTTCAAAGATTCGAATCTCCGGCATCCCAGCTCCCGCCCTCGGCGGATCTCCGGCGAGCTCGCTGGCAGCGACAGCAATCAGGCTCAAAGACTTCGCCGTCCTCCTCGACCTCGACTTCGAGTTCGAACCGATCCTAACTCCGGTACACAAGCTAACAGAGTCAACGTTCAGAATCGAGCAAGACGAAGCCGTGGCCGTCAACTTCATGCTCCAGCTCTACAACTACCTCGACGAGTCGCCGGAGTTGATCGACAGAGTTCTCCGCATCGCCAAATCCCTAAACCCTAGCGTCGTGACCCTGGGCGAGTACGAGGCCGGAGCCCCTGAACCGCGGTCGGCGTTCGTGAACCGGTTCTCAACCGCGCTCGAGTACTACTCGGCCGTATTCGAGTCGCTGGAACCGGCTATGGAGCGCGAGTCGTCGGACCCGCGTTCGGTCGAGCGATGCTCCTCGGGCATCGGATTCTTAAAGCGGCTGGCGGCCGAGGAAGGGAGGCAGAGGATGGAGGAGAGAGAAAATTGGACGGCGCTAATGGAGGGGTGCGGCTTTGAGAGCTTGCCGTTAAGTCATTACGCCGTTAGTCAGGCGAACCTTCTCCTTTGGAACTACCATTATAGCCCCAAGTACTCCTTATTGGATTCTGTAACGGGGTTCCTTTCCCTATCTTGGGAGGAACGGCCGTTACTCACGGTTTCCTCGTGGCGTTAGCGGTGGTGTTAGGGGCTTTGGTTTTATTAGGGGTCTAGATCGAGAGGGGAATTTTTATTTTTTTGTTTCTAAAATCTCCCACTTAATTAGTTTTGGTAGTATTATATTGATTTTTGATCTTTTGTTATTATTATTATTACTACATATTACATATGCGGAAGCAAATAGGGGTCTCTGAGGCTGGGGGCGTTATGTTATGTGGTATTTGCTTGGAAGCGAATTGGGTGGTGTTTTTTTTAGATGTAGGATAGAAAGAAGAAGAAAAAGTTGCATCTTGTTTTGTGTATATAATTAATCTTATGATGACATTTCCTAAGTGTTGATCGTTGTTTACAATTGAAATTTGAGGACGTTGTGTGTTCATGCGTGGATCTTAGACTCGAGGTAGAAATTAATAACTACTTATTTTCATAATAAAGTCCTGATTAACTGAAGTTACATGAACCTAATTTGATTGTAGCGGTGCCTGAGATTTGAGTAGAGTTTGAATTCAAGCTGCGATGCGAGCAAGCATATTAACGTTCATAATTGTAAAATTACACTTTCACTATCCTACTTTAATTCAAACACTAATCCATTAGTAGCTTTTGGTGGATTCAAGTTGATGAGCTTATTCATTGCCAATTTGTACTGCAATATGCTTTAATGACCGCTCTCATCTATTTTGAGATTCAGTACGGGTTCTTTTTCTGCAGATTAGATTAAGCCTGCCACTTGTTATTAATTAAGGAGGGACAACTGCTGAAATAACATTGAATACTCTTCCAAACTTAATTACTTCAGCTGTTTCCACCCAAGGAAACTAACTTATTACTGGAGGGTAAAAAGGCGATCTGTATCAAACCGGCCGGGGAGCCAGTTGACCGAGTCTGATAATTTCTTACTCTTACCCAAAGCTACTAATTACCATTTCCAGTTTTACCTATAGTAGTAGATCGAAAAGATTCTAGGCTTTTAGGCCCCTGTAATTTTAGCCAGTTACGTTCAGGGTTTTACCCTCTGGAGTACTATTTCCAGAGCTCCAGCGGTAGAGAGCTCAGGTTTGCTGCTGCTCGCACTTTCAAAAAGTTTTTCCTTGGGAAAGGGGCGCCAAGAGCTGTATCAGAGCTTTCCCTCCAACCGAAGAGGAAGTATTCTGACCAAATCTATGGCCGTAGAGAATTCTAAGGAAAGGTTAACTAATAAAGCCGTGAAGCGTTATTTTTCAGTACATAGATGTGGATTTGCAGCAACAAGAAGTAGAAGGGTAGTTGATCTCCAGATCAATTTCCAACTGGCTAAAAACATGTGCATACATACTTGGAACTTAAAAAGAGTTATAAACGGACGGTTTTGTTGTTTGGATCCTCTGCTTTAGACCCTGTTTCTTGGGTGCTTCGAATCCTGTTTAACTCTACCGGCTGGCTATGTAATGAATGATTACAATTTGTTTTCTCCAGTGTAAAATAGGAATAATCGGCAGTTCATGGTGGCATGCTAGCTAACTTTTTATCAAGGGCACAAAAAATTTCACGCACAACGTTGCCAAGGTGAAGCCCTGTCAGCAATCCGCGACGATACTCCCACGTTACCGATCCTAGAGCCTGACCAAGTCGGGAGTCCTCGGCCCAGCAGATACCATCACATCTTAAATCTTCAATTAACTGTCTCTAGAATTCCTTTTTATCTCCAAATAGTAGTTGTATATATCGCCTCCATATCTGCATCCTCCACGATATATATCACGGCGGATGCGCCTTACCTTACTCTATAAATAGCAAATAGCAAAGGAAAAGCGTGTGTGTGTTCAGTCATCGCCACCGCATTCCCCGCTTCACGACAAGTCCAACGCTATCGCTGGGAGCTCGCCGCCCTGCTGCGAAACCGCCAATGCCGATACGCGCCACTGCCGGAGCTCCTCCCTGTTGCCCACGGCCCTACCGCTCTCCTACTCCCCCCACGTCCCTCCAAGCGCGGGTTCACGGTGCGCGTCCTGCGGCGGTCGTGGCTCACGCGTCTTGATCGCGGTGGGATCTTCCCCACCGTCGGATGTCTGTACTGGGGCACGCTCTCCCATGATGCGGACTATGCGGCAAAAGGTGGAGGGAAATATTATATGGGGTTTAGACCCAATAGTGTACCTTGTATTATCTTTAAACACTGACTACTTTATTTGATACATTTGAACCCAATTTTGTTTTTGTATTTGCCTTCAAACCCAAGGAGTATAATCTAGAGTTAGTGTATAGGGAAAAATGCTTCCAGCCCCCAAAATCCAAGAAAACGTGCTCCACCCCTAGGATTTTATCAACGGGTGCTTTGCCCTAAAATAAAGATTTTGTTCTCTGAGCCCTAAAACAATAAACCCAAGAGATTAAAATATATAAGTGAAGAC